CTGTCTCTTATACACATCTAGATGTGTATAAGAGACAGCTGTATGACCTTCGGGGGTTATCCCGTCGCAGATGTCTCGCCAGGGCACGCTTTTGGGCGAGATTTTGATCCCGAGTTCCTCGGATCTTGCCTCGATGCGCTGAGGGGGTTCCAAAGAACCTGCTTCGGCTCCCAAACACAACAACTGAACCTCTTTTGCGGGCTGAAGCAGGGATCGAGGTAAGCCAGTGAGATCACAAAAGGAACGTTTGTCACTATATCGAAGGAGGAGGGGAGATACGCCTTCATACAGTGTCCGAGGGGGTTCCAAGGAATCAACCAGCCTCGAGATCTGTACGAGGGGTTCTCCCATGATCATCATATGAGCATTCCGTGCGGTTAGATGCATGGTACGCGCAATAGTGTGAGGCTGCGGGTAGTGAATCCGCTGCCGTACCAACCGTGTAATGACTGGATCGTCATCGTCGTCGCTCCTCGCATCGTTCGATGATTGGCCTCCGTCCACAGGTGCACTCCAGAAGACCATGCGGAGCGCTCCCCTTGTTTCCGGCGAAATTCGGGGTACTACCTTAAGCGACGTTCGAAGAGTTAGTCTCATGGGTATTACATACGGCTTTCCCCCGGTATTCCGGAGAATGACAGATCGGCGTTCGAAGTCTAAATTAGCACGCAGCGCCACCAATGCAGGAAGCCCGAAAAGAACGTCATACGTATTCACATCCAGCACCACAACATCTCCTAAAGCATGCACTTTTCCCAATCGGAATGCGACATTCGTCATTCGCCCTACTGTCTTGATCTTTTCCTCGTCAGTCGATACAAGATGGTCCTTCTCGGTTAGCATAATCAAATCATTCTTCCTACCCGCTCTCTCGACTACTCTGAGTGATATCGCTAGGACAGCCGCTCCCGAATCTATGATCGCACTATACGGCACTCACCAGACTTCAATATCACATTCAGCTGACTTCCACGGAATCGGCTTGATCCGAAGAAAGTGGTCATCTTTCTGTATCAATCCGACTCGGATGGGGTCAGTGGCGACGTCCGCCTTTTCCTCTGAAGTCGGCGCCTTCGCCTTCTGATCTTTTGCGCGTGCAAGGGCGAATCGCTTCCGGTTCGCTTTGCAATGCTGCATCATACGTTAGTTCGCCTGTTCCGAAATGGAGAGTAGGTGGCCGATTGGGAGAGGGATTCGATGATCCAGTGCTCGGGTAACCTCGAGGACATCGATTTCCCCTGTAACAAAGGTAGGGCCTCCCGTCTCCATTTCGCTCGACGAAGGCCTCCATTCGGCGACATCTCTGAACTCAAGTTCCGGTCGAATCGTCCCAATCATTCCCAGCCCCGGGTATCCTAGTGATACATACTGCTCCAGTGGGATAAGCTCGGCTGCTTCCTCACTGAAAATCATCATTCCGTTACTCCCCCCCTGATCATCCATCACGGCTCCTACACGTCCTGGGCCGTTAGCTATGGGATCTGCAGCTGCGGGCGCGACCCCGGTTCGAGGCTGCATGGCACGATGGGGGCAATCTCGGGCCAAGTGTCCCGGTTGATGACATGTAAAACAGGCATTTGCCGCTGTCCCGTCTGGCCCCGCTGCAACTTGTGCAGCAGCCATGCCTCCCTTCATTGGTGCTCGCACCGCAATGGGTCACATATTCCGCATAATAGCTTCTAATCGGGCGTTGTGCTCTCGCTGTTCCTTCTTGCTTTCTTGGATTAGACTAACCAATGTTTTAGTTAGCTCCAAGATAGCAGTAGACTCATTCGTTCTTGTGGATGACTCGATGGTGGGTGGCGGTGGAGGTGGCTGAGTTACGGTTGGGGACGTCATTACAGGGATCTGCCTGTTTACAGTCGCTCCACATGGTGCGGTCCTCGATGTCACCTGTTCTACATACGTGACGGGTCCGGCTACGAATCCCATGTTTTCGAATTTGTTTGCAGGGCGGCCAGTTCCGCCCTTGCTTTCACAAGTTCGGACGAGTCTCCTTCTCTACCATAATCCTCATTTTCTAAGAAGCTAGCTGCGAACTTCCGCTCCATTTCTTCGGCAGCGTCCATGATTTATTGCAGCGTGTGGTTAATGGAAGAGAAGTTTTTGCGTAGCTTCCCCCGAATCGTTCTGTTACGTAGTCCATCAATGAACAAGTCCCGGCCTACCTGCTCGCCCCGGTCCGTTTTTACAAACATTCGATGAAATCTGTTCCGATACTCGGTAATGGATTCGAGTGGTTTTTGGACTCGATCCTTGATCATATAGAGTGCTTGTTCGGGGTGAACATAATCGAAGTGGTTCATGAAATCCCGCTCGAATGTGGGAAGATCCACCCATACATAAGTGTTATACCAACGATGGGCGTCCCCCCCCATCCGCGCGGGGATGTGGATTTGAGCTTCATCGTTCGTATACCGCTGAGCTTGGAGCGTGGCCAACCACGCTCCGGCGAGATGGTGTGCTGGGTCAAATAAATAAAGATCTGGTGGAGCCACAGGGGCTCGCGCAGGCGGGTTGGGCGGTTGATTAGGGATGACCGCCGCAGCGGCTGCTGCAGCAGCGGCCGCAGCCATGGCGCCTGTTCGCCTTGTGGCGGATGTTCGGCTTCGTGTATTTACAGGACTACGTCGGCGTGTATCACCAGCTGAAGGGCGCTTACGTGGAGCCAGATCGCCTCGCCTTAGCCAGTATTGAGTTTACAGACCCTATCGCCTAGCCACGTGTCGGGCTCCGATACCAACCTCACGCCTGGCGCGCCTTCCTGATCGGAGTGGGATGTGGGCCTGGAAGTGCGAAGAGGGGTGTGCCAAGGATTTTTGGAAAGTGGGGGTGGAGTCCCAGGTCGGAACTGAGATCTCCAGTGCCAAGGTTCAGGGGCATAGATGCAATAGAGCAATGGGAAAATTTATGAGCGCGGACTTGCACGCCGTTTGTGCGGGGCCGTCCGATCCTGAAGTGATCGCCAGTTCTGGGGAGCCTGTCGAGGCGGTCCTTGGGGCCTACGCCTTCGGGGCCCGCCACGTGGTGTGGGCTGGTGGGAACTATGCCGAGGTGCCGAGGCTTCGAGGCTTCGGGTATGGGCACGCCGCCTGCAGCTTCTGCACGGGGTGGAGGGCCAATAAGGTGCTATGGAATTCCACCGTACTACTGTAAGCTGATGATAGGGGAGGAGGAGGTGGTATGGTGGGAAATTAGTGGCGATAAGGACGAAGCCCGGGGTTATGAAGTACAGCGTGTTGTACGTGTTTGGGTAGTCGGGTCCCCGCGGGTCGCTTCGTACGGCGAGATGGGATTCCCTAGCGCAGAATCTATCGTTTTCTGTGAGGCAGAGGAACACCGGGTTCCTCAAACTTCCCCGTAATCGGAGTTGCTCTTCTTCCCAGATTTCCCAGTACCCAAAATACGACTCGTAATCCTCGGAATTCCAAGATACGTCGGAACTCCGCGAGCTCGTCATTCTTTCATCACTCACGCCTTGGGGGATAAGTTAATCGGGGAGATCACCGCTCGTAAGTGCGTAAGAGAGATGCGAACAAGTCGCAGTTACGCGCACTATGAGTAACCCGATCCCGTTTGACATCAACTCCTACTTCAGCAAGGGGCTGGCTACGTGCGTTAGCCAAGACGCAATTGGCAAGTCCGAGTGGTATGGACACATGTAAGTCGCGCTCCGTTCGGATCGCACTTGCATGTGCTAATATGGTACGTCGGATGGTGCGCTCCAGATTCCCCGTAAGGTACGACAAGCCAACACACTCTGTTGATCACGCCAACATGCAATCCCTATTTTCATTCATCATGTAAGAGGGTTCACAGGAAACGATAAAAAACGAAAGGCGAGGGTGCGCGAACAATCCATACATCATTCGCAAAAGAGGATTCCGGAGAAGGAAAGAAAAATGAGAAAACATCGATGAAGAACCAAATCGAACAACTAGACAAGTATATGGCCGCAAAGACAAGGTCGAATTGCCCGTAATCGACACCAAAATTTATATGCACAGATAAAAAAGGGAACGAAAAGAAAAGCGCAAATCCATGTTCATCCTCAACTTCAACTCTCTCTCCTCTCTCTCTTTCTCTCTCTGATGTCGACAGCCCATCATCGCGCATCAACACACGAAGCCGTCACCCCGCTTGGTCCTCCTGCGCCCGTCAGGTTCGCTCCGCACCCAAAGTCCGTCGTGGCCCGCGTCAACCCTGCGCATTCGGCACCAGCTCGTCGGGTCGCCCGACTCCCGCTTCACTCACCTCTTACTTCGCTCGTGAGCCGACCCTCTCGATCGCGCAACCCCGAGCTTCCAGCAACTGTTAAGAGA